TGTCTGGCCCCGTCTGCCATGCCCTTCAAGTGGTCCGGGCAGAACCACACTACGGTCCAAAGAACATAAACCCACGTGTCACATAACCCTGCTTGCCGTCGAAAAAGCTGCGGCTTGGCACAAACAAACACCAACCGCGCCTAGCACCCGTCAACAATACTGAGCTGACGACCGCTTCCAAGGCCAACCACTCCACGCATCGAACCTCAGGCTGTAGCTAATGACAATGGCTTAAACCCCAGTGCATTCGCCTCAAGTCCACAGACATTCTAGCTCTCTGTCATGCTGCATCGGCCTAGAATCGGAAGTTTTCAGAGCAAATTTTTCAAGAAAACGCCAAGTGCAGCGCTGTTTCTGCTCTCGTTGTGTCCGAAGTTTTCAGATTGTCAAGACTACGGGCTGACGGAAGCAGCTGCAGGGTGTGCCCTGCACTGCGCTGTAAGATCTGCCTCGGCTCATCCTGACACATTGCGTCACCCTCACTCAGAAGGCCTCTCCGCCTCAAAAACAAAAAAGTGTCCAAAGACAATCGCACTTTGACAGGACAAGGGCTGGACTGGTTGACCGGACATCCCGCGTGGGGCTGCAGCCTCCTGACGTCACCGACTGCAGGGAAAGAAACAAAAAGACCGTGCGTTGAAAGCTGGCAGACTTTCACCTCAAAAGTTCTCTCCTCTGTCGTCGCCTCTTGGTCCTGGCTTGCAAAGAAGTGACCACACTCATTGGTAAGATGGAACCCACCTGTTTGGCCCGAATTAACAGCTCCAGGTCTGCCTTCGACAACATCTTGGCGGCCTGCAGCTAGGACCGGCGGCAAAAACACAAACACAACGGTCAGCACGGCCTTGACCAACCTTTGCTTGCGCTTGGCTTGCTTGCGGGCTTCCTTCTGGTTGTTGCGGATGGCTTTGCGCAAGTTCTTTCTGTCCTCCTTCAATTTCTGCAAGTCGGCCTGTAGCATCTCCTGGCAATTTGACGTCCCCCACAGCCGGGTACACTTCCACCCCACTTTTTCTGAGCCACCCTGGATGGCCTCCCCTGTACTTCGGCACCAAGGTATTCGAAGAGTATTGTTTCAAGCATGCACGGCTCTGAGCAACATCAACTTGGACACGTCAGAACCTGCCACAGTGCACCCAAACCGTTGCTTGCTGGACTGCTGTTTTCAGGAGGCTGGCATTGTTGCACTTGCCTTGCCCAAGAACTTCAACAGGATAGGCTCTGCTGCCTGTACGAGCTGCCAGCAGCTGCAAACCGTTGATCTGTCCCAAAACAGACGTGCTTGAGATTCTGGGCTCAACCTTTGCTTGCTGCTCGCAGCTGCAACAACTCTGCCTTCCCCGCAGTCTACTTTTGATAGAACTGGCCCAAAGTCAAAGCTGTGGTAGCGTGCAGCGCACGTGTACAGCGTATGGCTCACCCAGTGCTTGCTTCTTTGGGGAATTTTCGTTTTTGGAGTGCTGGGTTGGAGCTGAGTGGGGGTCTGGCCCTTTTTGTGCTTGACCTTTGACCACCTTAGCAGGAGGATGTTTGAAGTGGCAACTTGTGGCTAGGAACTGCTTAGAGAACCTTTTGGTAGAGCACGATGTCTTTAGAGACTGTTTGATGTGGTTTCCTTGCAGTTTGTGTAGTTTGGAGATGACTAGGTACAGTCATGTACTCTTTCAAGAAGAGTGGATGTGCTTCTAAGAAGCTAAGGGGACATTTGAAGACAGTCTATAAATGACTGTAACTTTGGGTCAAGGAGCGGGACCGAAAGGGCGCGTTGCTACTGTGTTTTCACATGGTAGCGGAGCCCCGAGGATCCTAAGGGTGAGGGGCAGACGCTTGAGAGAAGAGTTTTTGTTTTTGGAAAGGTTTGTAGAAACCTGCAGCTTGTTTGAGCCATGGCCGACCAGACGTCGCCAACTCCGATGAGTCCTGTGACTTTTGGACCCACTGTTATTCCCATGAGTCCAACAGCTGAAGGGACTCAGCCAGCGAGTGCAGATCCTGGAGTGTCGAGTAGCGATGTTGGAGCAACAAGGATTCCTTTGATTGCACCCGATCCTGTTTTGTCGACTTCTTCGTATGAGTGTCAACGAAGTGGTGAACAGATTGATCCTTTGCAGACTAGTGATCCTTGGTTGTCTTTCTATTCAGGGCCTGGTAGTCAGCAAGCTTTGAGAGATGCTTTGTGGGGAACTTATGGTCCTACTACTACACAGCTAGCAGCTATGCCGAGAACTTTGAATTTGCCACAGTCATGTTCGCATGTTGGTGATAGGTTGCAACCTGGAGGTGTCTTGACAGGAGGTCAGGATCAGTTGGGAGCGCCTGTTCAACAAGAAGGTGGGCAGCAATCTCAGCAGCCGAGTTTTGTGCCTGGACAAGGTTTTTCTGGACAGAACGATAGTGGACATGGTGTTTCTTTTGGTTTGCCACCTGGGTGGGATCAGAATTTGCCGACCGTAGGAGCAGATGGTTTGCCTTTTTCTGGACCTTCAAGGTCTCCTCCCCCAGTTGATCCTTTGTTGACTGGTTTGATGAATCAACAACTGCAATTGGGACAAGCAATGATGGAGGTTTTGAGACGACAGCAACAACAGCAACCTCAGCAACAAGCCCAGCAACAACAACCACAAGTTGGTGTTCAAGACCGTGAACGACTCACCATGGACACCAAGTGGATCCCTGCAATGCCCATGCCATCTTACAAGCAGTGGGTGAGCAGGTCTAGGGAACTTTCAGGGTTCAGAGATTGGGCAGAGAAGCTGGGAGGTTGGTTGTGTCTCATTCACGACCGATATGGACCAGAATTGAGAGAGGCATTGCGCATGGAACAACCCATTGTTTTGCAAGGAGCTGACCAGGAGCTCAGAGCAAGGAGATTGTTTCATCTGATCCAGCAAGCATTCACGGGATACCCAAAGATTGAACACATGATTCGAAATCAGATCATGGCCCGTGGGGCAGCTGATGCGAATGGCTATGAACTTTTCAGGCTGATTCGACGTGAGTTTTCAATTTACAGTAGGCAGGAGGCACTTTACTACAGAGAGCTTGTTTTGAAGTTCACTGTCAAGAAACCTTCGATTGATGGTTTGATTGATGTGCTTCGAGAGATCCAGACCGAGATCGAATCATTTCACAGTATGCTTGAGGCAAGTGTGATGGCCAGAGCATTGGTTGATTTGAGGATCAATGAGGGGGATCAGTTTTTGCTGTATTTGAGGAATTTGCCTGAAAAGGTATCAGAACATGTCCAACTCATCAGCGGTGCAGGGACTGTCCAGCAGCTTTGGCGAGCAGTGACTGAGTATTACATTCGCAGTCGTGCTACTGGAACTATGGAGAGGGCACATGCTGTTCAGGGTTCTCCTATTCGAAGCAAGGGTTGTTTCAACTGCGGAGACCCTGGCCACATGCAGTCAGAGTGCCTCAAACCAAAGCGCTGCAAACACTGCGGGAAGAGCGGCCATGTGGCCTCAGATTGTTGGGAGAAGCATCCTGACAAGCGACCATCCAAAAAGGATGGAGCAGACCCTGTGAAGAAGCCTTTTCCAACCAAAGGCAAGGGAAAAGGAAAAGGAAAGAGCAAGGGCAAGGGCAAGGGAAAGAGGAACAAGCTTCGAGAACTGGAGGACGGTGAAGAGTGGGAAGCTGAAGAGGAAGGTGAAGACCCCGAGGTCGATGAAGACCAAGACCAAGTCGCAATGATGGTTCTTGCGAGGAGTACTGAGAGTACTAAAGGGGTAGGAGCCTCCACAAGCGAGCCTGTAGTGCACAGCGTCACTCATCCTCTTGAGTACTTGTTGAGTACTCAGGGCTTGGGAAAGGATCTCAAGACCCACTGGCTTGTAGACTCAGGTGCCACTTGCCACATTGTTGCTGAGGAGTGGTTGAAGCTTTACAAGGTGAAGCATTGGTACCCAGGCTCAGCTCCAATCCTGAGAGGTGCAGGGGATCATATTCTTCCCACTGCAGGGATGGTAGACCTCGAGTTCAAGGAAGGTAAGATCCCTGTAGTCATGCAGCGAGTAGTGGTGGCGCGCATCAAGCTGAATGTCATTAGCTGTTATGCTCTGTCTGAGACTGGTTGGTGGACCAAGTTAGGAGGAGCCCGCGAAAGCATCTTGGAAAATGGTCAGGGGACCACTTTTCCACTGAGGATATGTGAGCGTGCTTGGTGGTTGAAGGTTGATTTGATTCCCAAATCAGGTCAGAACAGACGCCGTGGCAAAGCGACCAAAGGTCCAGCCCCCATGGAGGTTGATGAGGTGAAAGGTCCCCCACCGAACCCAGAAGGAGAGATCAGAGAGACCAAGACCACAGAAGCACGAAGCACTGAAAGCACAGCCACACCACGTACGCAGTACAGAAACGATGGTGAAACGACAAACGAAGCACTGGCAGAACAGGCACGACCAGTTTCTAAGGCAGGGAAGTCCAGAACTAAGGGTCGAGAAGTGATGTGCACTCATCCTGGTTCATTGCAGTCTTTTTCGTATGTGTGTCGTATGTTTCGTTTTTGTGGTGATGAGCGTGTTTCTTTTCCAACTTTGTCTTGTGAAGATGAGCCCAATACGTTTGAGAAGGGGAAGGAGGATGATCAGGAGGATTTTGCCTCTTTCACTTCTGAGTTTGACACCTGGGAGGTTGAGTCGAACTCGTCTTTTGTGAGCTGTGAAAGCCAGTTTTTGGATTTTGACTTCTTTTCCGAGGGTCCGGACGGAGATTCGGAGGCTTTTTCGGAGGTTTTTGAGGGATCTGAGACGGATTTTGCTTCCTTGCTTGCGTTTTGGAGGAACCAAGAAGGGTTTCCGGGGGTTTCGGAGGAGTCCGAGCGTGTCCGGATGTTCCGTGGGTTGCCGAAAACCGTTGATGTTGAGAGTGATGACATGGAGGAATACACTCCTTCCATTTTGGTCCAGAGGCGGAGGCCGAAGGTCCGATGGTTGAGGCAGGTTCCGAGGTTGACGAACCACCCGGGGAGTTGCCCCATTATGATCCTGAGGGTCCACATTCGTCGGATCTGGAAGATCCATCACCCGAACTGGAAGGCAGTTTGTTGTACGAGCACGAGTGTCGAGGACATTGGCCGTATGATCGAGGGTGTGATGCGTGTGTTCAGGCAAGAGGTCGGACGCCCGCGAGGAGACGAAAGGACCAGGAATCTAGCGCATGTGATCTTGCAGCTGACATCATGTTTGTAGGAGGAAGGCACTGGAAGGTGTTGGTTTTGCTCATGATTCAGACTGGCATGATCGGTACGGTGGTTTTAGGTGGTGACGGGGAGAAGGACGTGAAGTCCACTGTCTCTGTGTTGAATGAGATCGGTGTTGGAGGTTTGTCTTTGGAAGTGGCCACTGACAACGAAGCCTACCTGCTGAACCTGATGCAGAGGTCTCTGAGAGAGTCCAACTGTCGAGGCTTCCATTGGAGGAACATTTCAGAGAATCGTCCACAGGCCAAGGGTGTAGAACGTGCTGTGGGGATCATGATAGAGGGTTTGTTCACCAATTGGTTGGCTTTGGAAGCTCATTTAGGCATGAGGTTGGCTTTGGAATCACCTTTGATGGGATATCTGGTTGGGTACACCTACAGGACTTTCAATGGTTTTTGTGAGCGCAAGTGGGGTGGCACTCCTTTGGAATCTCTGAGAGAGAAGAGAGGAGGTCAGATACCACGAACTTTTCCTTTTGGGATCATGGGTTTTGTGAAGCCAGTTCATGCACAGAAGTGGCAAGGTCAGAGGATGGTGCTTGGTGCTTATTTGGGGGCCAGGTACAGCGCAGGTGGTGGTTGTTTGGTTTACCCGGTTTCTGTTGACTCCACTGGAGTGAGGGAAGTGATCAAGGGTCACAATTTCAGAGTTAGGGACCAATCACCATGGTATGATGTGAACGTCTTGTTTCCTCTGCTTGCGGGTGCATATGTTGATCCCAGAAGTGGCGAACAAGCGCTTCCTCCGCCACCAGTTCATGATCCGGAGAGGTCAGTGAAGAGGCCACTTGAGGACTCAGGTGGTGCAGGTGCAGGTGGGGAGGTTGCAGGTGAAGAAGGGGATGGAGACATGGAAGTCGAAATTCCTTTGCCAGATGGGAGCTTAGCTCCAGAAGGAGCTGGAGAACCTATGGACCTTGATGTTGTCTTGGATCGAGTCATCCAACATGCCCAGAACGAAGCAATGAATGAGTTCTTGGCAGGTGCCTCTAGGTGTGATGAGGTAGGAGGTGAAGTCGAGGCAGAAGGTCAAGGTTCTTCCATCTCAGTTCAGTTTGGGGGAAACCAAATAGATGTACAGATCGCTGAGGGAGTGTGTGATGAATTGACAGGGCACCCCATAGCGCATGACCAGGTGGTTGAGGGCATTCGCACAGAAATGGTGCAACTGGAGACATTGGAAGTTGGTGACACCTATCCTGAGAAGAAGGGTCGCGCCATTGCAGTTGAGCATGAAGCTCAAATCCTCACAGCGAGGTGGGTTTTTACCCAAAAGACTGCTGTCCTTTGTCGTGCCCGGTTGGTCGTTCGCGATTACGCCTCTGGTGCTGAAAGCGCGTTTCGGTCTGGCATCTATGCCCCTACAAGTAGCTTAGACTCACTGCGAGTGGTCCTGGCCTTCTCAGTGGTGGAAAGCATGAGCCTTCTTACAGCTGACGTGTCGACAGCATTCATGTACGCGCCTGTTGAAGCCGACGCTTGTGATCTGGTTTTGCTTCCCCCGAATATCACTGTGAAGGGCCAACGAGTCATCTTGTGGCTGAAGAAGGCCATGAATGGCTTGAGAAGGGCTCCATTGTTGTGGTTCTTAGAGCTTCAGAGGACGATCCGTGACTTGGGCGGAGACGAAACCTTTGAATCAACGTTGTTCAGGGTGAAGACTGACACCCAGTTCTTGTTGGCCCTAGTCTACGTTGACGACTTGCTTATAGCCAGTAATGACGTTGAAGGAGGTGAGAACTTCTTGCGTGCACTTCAGAAGATCTGGAAAATCAAACGCACGGGAAGTATTCCGTCTGGGCAGAGAGGACTCCTGGAATTCTTAGGCCGCACGATATACAGACGCCATGACGGAGAGGAATGTCTGTACTTTGGAGTTTCCGGGAGCTACATGGAAGGCATCTTTGTTTCATGGGAAGAGAAGCTCAAAGAATCCACCGGTTCAGCCATGCCCAAGCTGGAGGAGCTGCTAAAAGACGCAGAGAAAAAGTTCGGGAATCCTGAGCTGTCCGCCACGGAAGCACAGCGCTACCGTAGGGTCCTCGGACAACTTGCGTGGGCAGCACTCTCCAGGGCAGACCTTGCTTTTCCTGTTGGGTTTTTGAGTCGATTTCAGTCGAAGCCCCATGTTCCGGCAGAGATTTGTCTTCGTAGCTTTCTTCGTTGGTTGAAGGGTCATTTGCATTTTGTGCAGCAGATGCCTGCTAGTTCACCACCCGTTTTGACTGAAGAAGGGGTCGTTGTAGGTTTTTGTGATGCTTCATGGAATGTGACCAGCGTTTCTGGTGCCGTCATTTCTTGGCGTGGATGTTGCCTGAAGTGTTTCAGTAGGAGACAAGAGGTTCCTGCGTTGTCGTCTGCAGAAGCAGAAGCGATCGCCATCACGGAGGCTAGCAAAGAATGGCTCTGGGGATGCTGATCGAGACAGCTCGTGAAGGGATTCCTCTCGACGAGATAGGCATGCCAGCCAAGACCACCGGCAGCATGCAGCTTCACCTGTACAACGATGGGGAAGCGGCGATTTCCATATCGACCATGGAAGGTTTGCTCCGACGTGTTAAGCACATGGAACTTCGTGCACACTACGTCAAATACCTCCATCGAAGGCGCCGCTTGACCTTGGAACATTGGGAAGGTGTTTCCAACCCGTCCGACGGTCTCACGAAGAGTTGCAAGCTCATTGAGATGTGGCTGAACCTCTGTAATGCTGTAGGACTTGTACCTAGTTTGGATGAAGATAAGGCAGCATTGTTGAGGGGGTTGTCTCGAGACGCCGATGACGACGAACTTCCGATCGGTGAACGTTCAGTTCGAGAAGGGGAGTATGCTCATCGTGCGTGTTTCTTGCATTTTTCGTCCGTTGGGGATCGGAAGGTGACGAAAGCTTGGCCTGCTGAAGTTTGAACTTTGTCGAATGTGCTTTTTCCGGAACAGTTTTTCGAGATGCACTTTGACTTGGGAGAGTTTCTGAATCTGTTTTGTGTGTTTCCGTTGTTGTTCGTTTGTGTCCGAACTCGTTCGGAGGAGTTTCGTTTTGCCTTGTCTTGTTAGCACGGAGATTTGGAACCTTTGTCATGCCTAGAGAGCCGAGAGTGCTATCCTTTAGGCCTTCCCAGCTAAAAGCTTAAAGCTTCAGTGATTCTTGGACAAGATAAGCCTTTAGGCTGGATAAGCCTTCACGGAGCCAACAGGAGCAGAATCTTGAAGTGAACTGGAACTTAACAAAACATATGCGCTAGCTAGCGTATATGTGGCAGAGAAAACACATATGCTGAAAGATATCGAGCACCGTAGGTCTGTAGTTCTTTTTGTTTTTCAATTTTTGGTCGTTTGATCTGGTGTGTAGCGTGGTTTGTGTGGGTTAAGACAACTTTCATTAGGGACATCCTGTGTGTGTGCGTAAGAAGGTTTTAAGTTTTTTGAAGGCAGACAGCGCGTGCAGATTGAAGGTGTCAAAGAGCTTCGCCGCTTCGCACTTGCAGAGGTTGCCGGCGCCCATGATGGGCATTTGAATCCACGTTTTGAGCGTGGCAGTTCACCCATATGCACATAGAAAGGTTTGGAAGCGTTGGGGTCCACGTCCCCCTCAACTTTTTCATGGAGCCACAGGAGCCCACACAACTCAGCTCAAAACTAAAATTTTCACATGCTTTCATGTCCCTCTTCTCGTTTCGCTCCTTCTTGCATGGCCGGCGCCATGACCATTGATGTGATGCGCCATGTCCAGGTGTGCCCGACATATTTGGGCACCAGAGTTTTATGTTTTGGTCATTTGCAAGCTGAGCAGTCGATCCAATCCAGCGTCGCTTTGTGGCGTGAGTTGTTGTTTGTGGTTTTCACTTGTGGTGCAACGAGCTTTTGTGGCACCAGCTAGATCGCTCCGCTACCAGCCATGGTGTTGTGCAAGATCAAGACCAATAGCAAGAAGAGGGATCGGCGCAACCTTCATCGGCAGAAGAAACACTTGAAAGCTGCTACATTGGGCCCGAAGAAGACTTTCCGGGTTTCTCCAAAGACCAGCTACCATCCAGTGTTGCAGGAGATGCTACTTGTTTTTGCGTGTTGGCACTTTTTGGTTTCCATCAATTCCAGTGGAGTAGGGATCGGACGCGCGCGCGGTCTTATCTACTCGACTTTATATAATATATATCACATATATTTCTATTTATATATATATTTGTGAGTTCCTTGAGCTTGCCACCCTGTTGATTTTAGGTTTCAACTGCTAGAACTTGGTGGACTTCCCTACGTCCTCCTATCGCTCTTCGACCTCGTTTTCGATTCTATGACACAGCCCACAGCAGTGGCTTGGAGCAAACATGTGAGTTGGAGCGCTTCATCTAAACCCGTCATGTTTCAATTGAATCTTCAATGTCCCTTGAGTTCCTTTTTGCTGCAGGCGCTCACCTCAATGGAAGCGTTTGCTGGCGTGAAGTCGATCACCAATGCCTTCAGGCAAGAGACCATCCAATGTCCTGCAAATCTCTTGCAACCTCATCCCAAATAGTGAAGAAGTAAAGTCACAACATCTGGCAGGTCATTGGGGCAGCCAGCCGCCAGCTACGAGGTGCTGGACCGGCCAGTGTATGAGGACATCATGGGCGGTGTTGGATATGCCTACTTGTTAGGCCTAGTTGCACGGCTCTGGAAATCTGCCTCTCGCCTGACAGTGAAACTTGAAGCACGCTAGCGCTAGCAGTTCCAGCCACATGGAAAACAATAGGTTGCAGAGTTTCATGAAACCAAAGTTGTATGGGAAACAATGCTTGGGATTGGTATCGACTGCGCATGAGCTGTGAGACATGAATTCTTGAGGTTGGGTGCGGGTGGTTTGCACCTGTCTGCTCGTCATGGGTCTGGATCAACCGGCTCAACCCTCAGTACCAAATCAAAGGGAAACAAAGTAGTGTGCAGAATAGTCTTTCAAAGCCCAACAGTATATAATAGTATATGTATGTATCATGATGTCAAACACAAAGGCGCAAATATTGCTATCAGCTTGAATGAGGAATACTTGTATGTAACATCTTGAAACAGTTTGGAGTTTGGAGTGCTGAGCATGTCTTGAACTCTAACGCATCTTTCAACATATATTGACCTCTCGACCTTCAGCCCCATCACTCACTCGCTCAGGGCTACATCAGGTCGATCGCGAGAAGCGCCCTTGGGTGACCGCAGCAAAGAGTTCGTGAGAGTGGCGAAGCTTGGTATAAGATTTTCATGTCTGATGCAATCACTCGAATCCAGTTAGATGTCGCAAGTCATCAGTGGTGCCCTGTGCGCGTAAGTCTTTGAAACCATGCAGCCATCAGCATTTTTGATAGAGGCATCCTTCTAATCTAAACTGCTTTAGATCTTGAAGCCTGCCATGATCTACGTTCCAGTCGCTCATCGGGCTGAGTGGAGAACTTGCTCACCCAGGGATGGATGGCCAAACTACGTGGACGCTTTGAGCTGCCTTGGCATGGACATGGCTCGAGCGGTGCCCAGGAAAGTGAGAGAAGAAGCGATTCCACCTTTGACTGAACAACCCACGAGTAGCCTATTGATTGGAGACTTCAGTCCCAAGACCACAACGAAGGAACGCACTTTGAATCATGGCAACGGAAGAACATGAGTTTCAGTGTCAGTGTGTCTGTTTGTCTGTTCTTTCCTTGTCCCTATTCGGGTAAGCTGCCCAAAAACAATGAGGATCAAGAATTGGTGGGCCCTTCACAGCTTGCTGATGTTCGAGGAATTCCAATTTCGGAAGCCCAACATGGAGGAATGTCGCATCATCTTGGAGAGCTTCAACGAATACTTTAAGGCGCCCCGAAATTATACAAAGAAAGCCACAATAACTGGACCTTATACCCTTCGGCCTACACTTGTCTCCAAATTGTTTTTCTGTGTGTTGAGGGCCTGGCGTTCCGGCCTGCAGATCCAGACGCGCCTGGGCAATGTTTCATTCGCGGTGAATGCAAGCAGGCTGAAATTGGGAGTGAGATCTCTTGTAATGGACAACCCCTTGATGCAACAAAGGCTGAGACTACTGGGCATGATTTGGTCAAAACTGCCAAGAACCTGCAAAAGCTTTGGTCTGGACTGCGGAGGACAAAGTGTTCATGTTTGCTTCATCTTGAGAACCTCAATTGCTAGTCAGGCTCACGCATGTCATGACAGTCCATGGGTGTTGCAGGAAGTGGCAAAACTCTTCTCACTCGTCCAGATCTGTGTGGGTCCAGCTTTTGAAGGATCAGATGAGGACGAACGCGCCGCCGCAACAACCAGATCTCGACGCAGAGACTGACAAGTTGGGGGGATCATCTGACGAGTCTTCGAACACGACTGATGGCATTCCTGAAAATTTCATGGGTGAAGAACCCAGGCCTGCCTACAGTGGAAGTGAAGACTCCGATTGCAAAACCGACTTCACGGATGTGGACCAGGTGGAGTCTGACGCTGATGTGGAGAAACGGGTGGAGTCTGAGCATTCCGACAAGGTTTCTGAGCAAAAGTAATGAAATGTAAGTGGAAGAACATGTACATGTTGTGGAATTGTTACTATTTTTTGACAGCTTAGGCTAGCGATGTGGGGAGCGACATTTGGAAGTCCATGGGTGTGGAGGAGCCCTCTCCCTGTAAACATGATACAGACTCAGAACGTGAAGCTACCGCGGCCCTTGCGTTGACTGCTGAAGCTTTGGCCATCTACAACTCGGAGGAGCCCTAATATGTTTGGGGTTGGCGTGCTCTCACATATGCTCAACCAATAAGTGTGATTGAATATACCCAATTCCCGTGTCCCTTTCTCATTTTTCTGCACGGAAGGACCCTGAAGGGTTTGACATGGCGCTGGTGGCCCTGGACCCTCCTCCAGTCAAAGTCGATGAGAAACAGGACCGGGGATCGAAGTCTTCGAAGAAAAAGCGGAAGTCATCCAGTTCCAAGAGATCCAAAAGGTCCCGGTCCCGTAAAGCTTCCAAACCCAAGTCATCCAAGCCTCGAAGCCCTTCATGTCGCTCGACCGCAGCTGAGCCAGAGCCTGCAGCAGTCGATAAGGGTGAGATCATCAAGTCATTTGGAGAGGCGTACCAGCATTTGATCAGAGCGTTACCTGTGAGCTTGTGGCCACAGTCAGAACGTCATGGGAGCCACTCATACACGGTGAATCTTTGTTGCAAGTATTTTTCCCAAGACTCCAAGACCCCGTGCAAATCTGGCTGAACAGAAGCAACAGTTCAATGTGGCAGCTCTTGTGTGAACAAGGGCGTATGTTGCACCACCCGCCCAAGGAAGCTTCATGACAAAGCTCGCCTCGAGGTCCTTCTCCGTCAGCAGGCTTTCAAGCCTCGTACCGATGCATCAGGGAGCAGACTCACTGGTGAGAAGGGGAAGTCGATACTTCATGGGTGTTTTGTTCAGCGCATTGATCAATCAAGAAGGTGTACCTATAGTTTTGCAAATAGATAGTAGATACGTCTTTGATGGATGTTATGGTTTAAGTTCATTGATCAAACAAGAATGTCAAGAGAATGCGCCTTTCTTTGTTGGCAAACTCGGCTAAGAAACTATACGATTGCTTTTCCGCCCTAGGATTTCGTTTGTGAGTGACATCAAGAAGGCCTGGGAGAAGGCTGCTGAAGCACTGGATTTACCAGCTGATGATGAGTAGGGGTGAACTTAACTGTGCCTGGCGCTCTCCACGTTCTTGTTCTAGCAACCACAATGAACCATACAAAAAGAAGGAGTCAAGATTCTGCAAAGTGTTGTGGGTGGCGGGCGCGCCTGTTCCTTGGTGACCTGTCTGAGATGTGTAGCCTATAAGTCAGAGCAAACGCAGACTGGTTGTGCTTCAAGTGGGGAGACAGGACTCACCGGTGGAACTTTTGGATTTATCGTAGGGGTAGCGACTCAACTCTTTGACCTTTAGGATCCTTTAGGCGTGTGGGTCATGGGTTGATTGGACTCAACAGCAGTTTCAATCCTTCGATGGTAGGCGGTGATGGCCGCTTCCAGGATTTGGAAAATCAGCACGCGTTGTTCAAGTCTGTTGTAGAAGCAGAGGGGCCATTCCAGTTAAAACTTCTCATCTGAGGAATGGAATGATCTATCGAGTTACAGCTGCTCTCATCATGATGTCCACCCTCAACATCCCATGGTTTGTTGAGCAGCCGGGAAGCTCTTTGATGGAGCATCGCCCTGCGTTTCAACACTTGTGCAAAAGATTCACTGTCTACAAGGTGACTCAGCTGGTTTGTATGCGCAACCTTGTTCTGCCTATATAGATGGGCCAAAAACATATAATATTGCATCCACTGTCTCAGGTGTTCATTTGGCTGGGAGCATACGGAGGAGATTGAACCCTGGCGGCATCCGGGGGCCCTGCCCACACGTGGAGTTGCGTATATAGCGCCCACGTCCAACCTTGGAGGGAGAGTTGATGTGGTTTTGAACACATGCCAGGAATACTTAGCTATCATCTTTTTGTTTCAGCCTTTCAGGATGAGGTGTCCGTAAAATGCCGTTTGTGAATAGTTTTGGGAAGCTTTCCGGACACCTTCAACGCATACCGCAATGATGTAAACTACAAAAGATCAATCCTGACCCTTGCTCTCTTTCACACCTCTTTTACAAACATGTTTGGTGGGAGGGGATATGTGTTTTTCAAGCTTACAAGCTTGCGTGGGACCTTTTTGGTGAAAGTTGCCTTCAGGTCTCAAAGAAGGTTCCAAGCGTCCAGCCCAGGCCCCAAGCCTACGTTGATCTATTCGAACTTCAAGTTTATCGAGAAGCTGTTCTTACCGCTTCCGGCAGACAAGGTTTGGGAGGCGGAGACATCCATCAAGCAACCTGGTTCACGAGTGGCGTCAGCGTCTTCCAGTTTCCAGTGTTTTCTACTCATTATCCATAACAAGGACTTGGCACTACTGTATTTGTTTTTGTGGTCGACCAAGAAGAGTTTGTGGTCAACCATTGGAGGGAAGTCATCCCCCAACCGGCCCAGGTATGTGGACTCCAGTGGCCAACATAGAGTCTCTGGAGGTCGAGATCTGAAATCAACCCAGGCATATCCCCGTTTGTTTGGGCATGCTGTGGCACAGCTGTTTCTTAGCGAGCGGGATGCTGTGCGTCAAGCTATCGCAGAGAGGAAGACACTTGGACTTGTAGCCGACTGTGTTTCAAGTGAATGGTCAAAAGAAGAATGGGCCAACCTAGACCAAAAAGACTGACGCTTGAAATCATCCTGGACCTTTTCTTTCTAGAAGTAGATTGAATCCGCACTTTGTTTGTGTGCCCAGGAAGGAGCTGGCCAATTCCAAAAGAAGCATCAAGCCTTTGAAGGACTGTAGCCTGCGTTGTGAGCGGAGCTTCAACAAGATTGGTGTTCTCATGGGTGTTTCTATATTGTATCCATGACCATGTCAGCAACCTCTAGCACCCTCGAGATATGCCCCACATCCCATGCAGCTCGGCTCCACGCATGCAGGACATCGGCTGGGCCAATGGCGCAGACCTGCAACAGGTCATCAAAGCGCTTCGTGGGTGAGAGGCTAGCTGGATATGGTCTTAATTAAATCGATCTAGACCAATTCAAGGGCCTATACCCATGCGCACATATGTCTAAAGAGCACCAAACCCTTAAACAAAGAACAATTCAGTATACTATAGGATCACAAGAATAATCCATATGGTCAGATCAAGAATCCAAGAATAATTCCTGGGTCAGACCAAGAATCCAATAATAATTCACGGGCCAGACCAAGAATCTCATAGTAGTATTTGGAATTCCTGTATATGACATCTAAAACCCCAATTACATAGTATATATACTATATCTTTTCAGCGAGTCTTAACATTTTTCAACTTTTTTCCAAAAAATAACTCAACTTGAACAATCCGGGAATCCGGGAAAAAGCCGGGAAATGGCCGTGAAAACCCGAGAAAATTCTTGGGTTTTGAGAGTTCAATTTTTTGATATGAACTTAAGCGGTTTTTGTGGTCTTACCCAGGAAATTCATGGGCGCATGTGCGCGTGGAGGTGCTCTCGCAGTGGGGCAACCTGTTTGAGAAGGAAAAGAGACGGTAAAGCTGAATTGTTTCAATGAACAGCTGCTTTCGCCATGCTCCCAGCGTGTTCTGTCCAATTGAAGTTAAGTGCATATATGTTTTTTGAGGGTTCAAGCAAGCCTTGTGTTCGCTATATACGTTCCTCAGGGTTCAAGCAAGCTTTGTGTTGGATTAGGTTGCAGGTCCACCATGCCGCCAGCCCCTGTAGTCTCTCATCGACACCGAAGCAAGTCAGCTCCCAGAGGTGTGAGCCCAGATTCCAAAGCCCTAAGGAAGGCAGCTGAGACCAAATCCAACGCTACCAAGAAAGTCTTGAAGGATGTTGATGTCTACAAGACACCACCCCCACGGACATCAAAAAGGTCTGGTTCAAGTGCATCCAAAGAATCCAAGGATTCTACCCGGAAGCGGATCAGCTTTGGAGACGTTAAAATTCAGGACATTGAAGCAGAGAACCCTCGACCTAAGAGCAAGGTAAAGGCTATGAATGCAAAAGAAGCTGATGAGATCTTTGAATCTTTGAAGGACATGGGGGGTTCCGGTGTTTGTAGCGTTATCCTGGTCATGTTCTCCCTTTTCACACTAATCATTGGAGCCTACCACATGTCACTATCCCCCTAGCTGCTCCAAGACAACCTGTGTTTGGCTGGGCAGGACGAGAAGGCCAACGATGATCAAGGTTCTGGAAACGAAGATGATGAGGGTTCATCGAGCGATGATGGTTCCGACGAAGAGAAGCAGAGTGAGGCTCGGAGAAAGTGGTGGGCAAGGTTTGAAAGACCAGGTATCTTCATCAAAGCCCCAGGGATTCCAAAGTCAGTTCTATCCAAACACAAAAGATGTAGACTCAGCAAAGCGTCAATTCGATCTATGCAGCAGTGGTGGAACACGTTTTGGGCAAACGTGCAGGATGAAGAGAAAGATGAAGAGAAAGATGAAGAGAAAGATGAAGAGAAAGATGAAGAAAAAGATGAAGGTTCTTCTGATCAAGAGTCAGAGGCGGCGGACTCTGACAAGGAGGAATCCAAAGCATCTTCGTCAGAGAATGAGTCTGAGGACGAGGAGGCATCCAGCGAGCCCCAAGAAGAGGAGGAAGAAGCGGAGGGATCTGAAGAGGGATCAGAAGAGGAAGAAGAAGAAGATGATGAGGAGGAGGAGGCTAAGAAGGAAGATGATGGTAAGAAGAAGCGGGGTTCTGACGACAAGGACGCCAAGAAGGGTTCTAAGAAGAAGGATGAAGAGAAGAACAAAGGTGAAGAGAAGAAGAAAGGTGAAGAGAAGAAGAAAGGTGAAGAGAAGAAGAAGGATGAAGAGAAGAAGAAAGGTGAAGCGAAGAAGAACGGTGAAGAGAAGAAGAAAGGTGAAGAGAATAAGAAAGGTGAAGCGAAGAAGAAAGGTGAAGAGAAGAAGAAAGGTGAAGAGAAGAAGAAAG